AACCACTTTCAGTACATATTTTCTGTTTTTACGCCACACTGAATATAATATACATTATGCTTTTAAGAAATAAAATTTAATTTAATTTTTATGTGACGCGCAGTACTTATATAAGCCATGGCTGTTCATAACGTAAATGTTGAAAGAATATTTTGACTGATATAGTTGATCAGTGGATCAGAGAACAAAATTGAGTTCTAGTAGAAATATAGTATAGAAAGTATAGATAGTATYATTTAATCCGATTTTAATGCGAATTCAATTTAAAAATCACCTATTCGGACTTTATAGTGAGCATGACATGGGAAAGCCAGAACTGCTGAAAAAGKTCAAAAGTCAGAAAAGTATCAACATTGAAACTAATTCAACGTATTATATACTTATGTATAGTAATATTTCAAGTTTCAACAGTATTATATCTACACATAATAATACGACATATTAAGCCTTCAGTTTAAATTATCTATCAAGAAGTTGGAGTGTAGCAAGTACTATAATAAGTACCCAATAATTAACAACTATCTAAGTGCAATTCTAATAAGACGTATAATATATAATCGCATACCTACATAATATGAAAATTTATCATTTATTTATATTACTAATAATTATTATCAAGACACCTATARTTTATATACATTAAAGATTAAACGAACATTGCATTTATAAGATTTGTCACTCAAGGTAATTGCCTATTTACATTAATCCGGCACTGTTCGGGATGTGTTATAAAATATATATTAGTTATAAAATATGTTATAATATTGTGTGCTCAGTATACTTTACCCATTCGATTGATTTCCTTAGAATAGACGGTTGGACTTAGCAACGAACAAACGATTAAACATACTGCAGTAAATTCAGTTAAATACATTTTCACACGTGTATGTTATTAATTCTTATGATTTAACACGACTTTTCACTGCTGTCCTCGGGTCTGCTCCTTTGGCTATAATTGGTAGTCCTTTGCTCGGTGAAATCCGTTTCCYGTCTCCCGCAGTCACTTGGAACGGCTAACTCTTCTGCTGTAGACAACGAACGAGTACAATATGCATTTGATGTGAGCTATATTATAGGTGCTTATGCCTACTGAATTTAAGAAATGTATGATTTTCGAAGTGCGCATACCGTTTTAAATCTAATCATCGCCAATACCTAAATAAATTATGGCACCTATAAGTGATTTGGCAAATAATATGTGAAATAATCAGAACGATTAATTTTTGTATTGTTGCACAGGTRCAATAAGTGCCTCTAATTATATATTTTATATTATAAGTGTCTCGCTTTTAAGAGGTTGTATAACTATCGTTTTAAAAATTAACAAGAGCTTGCATTTTAGTTAAGCACCTAATTCTAATTACTGGAATAATTATTGCCTATTGGTGTGATCACTAATCATCCTTTTTAATATTAATAATATTTATAGACCGATAATTTACATCTCGAGAAAGTTGTTAGGTAAATACATTGTACGTGTATAAACATATAACAGTATTTTAATAAATAGTTAATTATTAATTTTAGCAAATATATAAGTGTGTATAACTAATTTATCGAACATATCAAAACAATTAACTGTATCTCAATACAATCCAATAACTATACATATATATATATATAGAGTCAAGTACCCATACGTTATCTAATTAATTGAAGTTTGATCATAATGTTATGTAGTAGTGCGAAAGTCGTCGTGTATTTTTTATATCTAAATACAAATAAACGATCGTTTAAATCACGCCAAGGCTTATTAATAAGTTTTTCAATAACATAAAGATACATTTTAAATTGCGTCAACATAACAACGACGAAAAATGCAATACCTATATTTTAATACCATAATACTATTTAATGTGAGGTCTTAAGTTACTAATTTACTATCTAAAATTTTAGTGGATTTATCATTTATTTCTGAGATTCCAATTTGATTAAGAATAGATTATAGAGTATAAAAATACCGAATATGCAGCATACGTAAACATTTCYTGTAGCTACAGTTACATATTATTATTTCATATGATATTCAATATTCACCCACGTATATACAGTAATAAGTGTTGACATCGGGATGATCGATCGAAGTGATAAAAACCATAACAAGTGAAACGAACACACGCACTATATATATATTAGATATATTTGTATACAGTATTATTATTATTATTATACAGTATTATTATAGAAATTAATTCGAGATTTCACAGACCGCAGTGTAATCAGCTGTATCCGAAAACATTGTTTTTTACTTAAAAAGTACGGCGAAGTCTCGGCGACAGACACCTGCATCGATTGCTCGRCGGCGACGTCACGTTCAGCTGTCGAATTGAAAGACATTCAAAATACAACCGCCGAGATCAATAATGATACGACCAATAAGAGAGGTGCTCACTTCGGACACACTCCATAAAATCGTTATAATATTTCCGTAGGTAGGAACACGACAATATTTTTAGGAAAACGTGACCACCGCAACGCACTGTTCGAAATAACGGGTTATATGTTTACGGTTACGATGTTATGATGATACGGATAAATGAGTGTACCGCCGACAGCTGATGACGTGTTATAATTTTATAAATATTTACCAACAGTATATATTTGAATAAACATAATATAAACTTGCTGTACTCACTTGTATGGCCATAAAACTGTGTATACGGCCGTGAAGATCATAATATTATACACTGTACAGCCTGTACAGGTATATAATAGTCGTGCTAATGTGATGTTTGGCGAATCGTAAGAACGAAAAACCGAAACGGTATAATAAAATATAATATTATTACCTATAAGAACGCGCGGTWATTTATCGACGAGTTATAATAAAACTGGTCTCGTGGCGCTAATAGAATAATATCATCRTCGCGAACTGTTTGGCAACTACTCGGACGGAACMGGACAGGTATAGAACATGCGGTATGCGTGGTATATAATATTCTTATGATTCCGTATTTCCGTGTGCCGACGATCGATCGAAATGCGCAAAAACGGAACAGGTCGACGTCGCACGCATCGTCGCCGTTATATATAGCTACGGCGAGGGAACATTTTTCATGTTATTAATTCGTCAAAAAGAATGGAAAACAAACTGTGTCGTAATATGTTGCAATGTTGCATTTTTGCGATACCATAAATTGCCGTATGCACCTGCAGCACACGGTACGTATAATTATAACACACATTACCATTTAATGTACCGCGCGGTAAGTGTCCAGCTGAGGCTGTGTAAAGTCGTTTTATATAACGTTATTGATAAAATAATGAGTTGGCCGCACGTGCTCCAGTGTCAAGTGTACGCAACTCGGCTACGACGACATATTATTATCTTCGAGAGCTAGTGAAAAATAACATAATATCATGTGTGTTAGATGTTGCGGAAATTCAATRTCAAAGCAGCCGAGCMCAGGCTTGAGGTCTAATTATTATCGTTCGAACAAACTTATAGCTTTTAGAATGAAGTTTTATTTTGTTCCCKCCCCCTGAAAATGACCCTATACGGGGGCGTTCAGTTGGCGCATTCTTATAATATACTTTATATACAAATCTKACGATGGCACTGACGCATAAAGTCACTCTACAACGTCATTATAATTTATAATAATGTTATGTAGAGTAGGTACATAATAATAGGTGAAAACACTGAGTTTTCACCAATGAATGTAAAAACCGTTTACGTAACGTCGTGCTGATATAGGCAATAGGCACACTATTCATTGTCACATCAGTCGGCTTTCGAATGCACACCTGTTACAATATTCACCAGCCTGTTGAGCGGGGATGCCTAGTCGGCTGATCTACCTAGATCAGCACTCTACTTATATTTAGATTTTATTTATTTAATAAAAAAAACATCGAAATTGCCTGTTTAAAACTTCTTACAATTTTACAATGATAATATTAAATAATAACATAATCATTCGTATTTTTCAAGCGTTCGTTCTCTGTGATCTAAACCCATATATGTTTCAATGTTGTTATATTCCGATATTTGACAGAATGTGACGGTAGATTGAATTATATACAATGAAAACAATTTTTAATTTAATTATATAGGCACTTAAGTACAATGCAAT